AATCGCAACATTTAGGGGCACATATTCTTCCAAAAAATTGCAGGCATATGGTGTTCAAAACTTTATGGCACCAAAAATTGTGGCTAATAAGGCAAACTTTGGATCTCAAACAATTTATGACACCAATTATGAATTAAATATAATTGAGAATGAATGATGTTGTTGTAAAATTACCAAATTAAAAATGACCAATGCGAAAAAATCTTGACTAAAATCAAAATCAATATTCTTTACTCAAGTAAAAAAGTAAAAACTGACAAATCGTCTAATCGAAGTAAAATTACAATTATTTTTTTGCTTTTATTATTCCTAACTTTATTTAGATTGTTTTTAAATTTTGTCATTTTCAATTTCACTCCAGAACAAACATTATCAACTACTCCATTGTTTGCTAAATAATCAATATCACTACCTTTGCTTCCAGGACAAGCATTATCTTCATTTACTAATTCATTTTCTGTTAAATCATCAATAATATTTATTACCACGCAAAATTAGTATGTCAGTCAGTTTAAAGATTCAAAAAGAAAATTTAGTCAGGGCACGAACATCATCGATTTGAGATACTTTACGAGTATCAAAAGGGCCGTTTACTAAAAACAAATTTTTTTGAAGACATGGTGGGGAAAATTTGTAAGGACTCTTGGAACTTTACAATTAAGCGAAGAATTTTTTAAAAAACAACTATTGGTATAACATTGTTAAAAAATGCCTATATTACAAAAGTTAGTATATGACATTAATAAAATATTCGAAAAGGAAATTTTTCAGTTAAAATTTTTTTTGAAAATCCGTGCTCAGTATAAAGAATTAATTACTTTATATTATCAATATAAATTGTGCTTGCTAAAAGGGTTTAAGAAAGTATCTGACTTCATCTTATATTTTGATCTTGAAGTAGCAAAGAAATTAATAGGATAAAAGCTGTGAACAAGATACTGACTGACATTTCAATTATTTTTTATTTTTAGTAAAAAAAACTTCAAAACTCTGTCGAATAGTAGTAATGATTCATACCATCAAGCAAGTTTACTTGAAATATTTTTAAATTATCTATAGATAAAATTGTTCTAGTTGCGTTTAACAATTTAACAAAACATAGAAGTTTAAACATTTGTTTCTATTGATTTGCCCTGAGTTCAAATTCTATGGGGCTTTAACCAAAAGCAAGCTCACTGCAGTAAATCACTTGATTACAATTAAAAAAATATCAATAATTTATTTAATTTGTTAATAAAATAGGGTTTCAATAATTTAATGATGATAAGCGATGAAATTAATATTGAAATATTGGTAGACACGGCAAAAAAAGCATTATTTTATAATTTTAATTAATTAGCTTTGTTTTTTTTAAAATATATTATTATATTTATTAATTGTTATATTTAGATAAAAATTGAGCAATTGTCAAAAAAAGAATATTTATTTACTATTTTCGTCTTCGTCAAGTGTTTAAGATTTTTTACTCTAGTCAAATTGTCAAAATGGTTCTTGATAAGGAACTACCTTTAGTCAATACTATTACTGCTTTGTCATATAGAAGGTTTTTGTCAATATTTTTCGGATACTTAAATAAGAGAATATTTAAATTTTTGCATACTTAGTTGAGAAGAACTAAAAGCCTTTTTATAAAGTTGGGATATCTTTGGGATACCACGAAATGTGACGTATGAGAAAAAGTTGAATAAGTGTATATGAAGAAATCCAATTTCATTCTACTGCCTATAATAAAAACCATGCACTTCTACTCTATCTCCTGAAAGAAAACCAGGTGAAACTAGCTTCTCCATTATTAAAATTATGCACACCATACTCTCTCGAAAACAAGCACGGGAAGGACATAAAGTCATGGCCAAATTCAACAATCCTAAACTGCAAACGAGTCCCATTATATATACTTATTTGGATGGCAGGTGGGTGAACAAGTTTTTTGATTTTCAACGAATGTCAATGCTTGGGGAATTTTCCGAATGATATTTATTATTCTCTCCTTTCCTTTAAATTAAATGACAAGAGGAATTCACAAAAATGCATATTTGCCCTCCGTGAGAATATACTCATCCTGTAGATAATCTCAATATGCCCTTTTATTTCCTATTAGTCCTGCCCTGTCATACTTACAATCAATCACGAAATAGGTTCACGCATGATAAAAAAAAATCTCATTTATTATATCACAATGCTAATTAGCAACCTTTTAATTCTAATGAAAACCTTCGCCATTAAAACATGCAAGTAAATTTGTAAATGATTTAACAAAGTTGTTGAATGAACCAGACTTTTATGACGTAGAAGTTAAAGTTGGAGTGGTCCGGGATGATGTTGGAATCTTTAATATAAAGCTCATTCAAACATTTTAAAGGCTGCACCTTCATACTTTAAAAGCAGCTCTATCAAATAGTCGTAATAAAAATCCCGAGCATTGTGACATGCGATGAATTTGATTTTATTGATTGATAGTTTATAATCTTTGAAAATTCGACAGCGTCTCACGTTTCTTTTTAAAATCCGATAATTTGAAAGATTTGAAAAACAAATGCTTATATCAAGGTATTATTATTTAAGTTTAGAAGAAGCTGGTACTTGGAATTGTGTTATTAAATGGGAATCAGACAAATTGAAAATTTGGAAGAAGAAACAATGGAATAAAGATAATTTTAAGAGTTAAAGAATATACTAAATAAAAATTAGAATAATTATAACGACATTAATATAGTAAATGGTATATATATATATTAGATTTGATGTTTTTGAATAATTGATAAAATGTTAAAAGATAAAGATTTTTCTCTTTAATTCCAAATGCACTCTCTTTAAATGAATGTTCACTCAATAAAAATAACTTTATCCGTGCGTTGTTCATTTTTCGCCTTGATCACGTATCTTAATTACGTTGTGTTTGTGATCATTTCATTGACATTTGTTATATTAAGGTTATTTTGATTATATTGAGAGATATGGTCAAGAGAAGAGTTAGGAAGAGAGTTATTCTTCAACCAAGTCGAAAACCAACCCTTTAAATACATTTTCGAGTAGTACGATTATTTAATTTATTAGACTGTTTCAATGGTTTGTCGCGTTTTTGCTTCCAACTTTTTAGATTCGTTAACGAAATGATTGTTGGTGAAGTGATTGTTGACAAAATGAATCAAACCCATATCTATTTTCTACGTTATCAAATTCACGATTTTAATTGGTCAATAAACAAATTGCGTTGGTTAAAAATTGTGTGTTCCCAGAACGGTCTCTCCTGCTCGCTTGCACATCCTCGAATACAAAACTTGTTATGATTTGAATCCTTACTTTTATTAATTAATATAATAACAATTCATCACAACCATCAATCTTGTAATCAGCACCTACCTGTCTATATTAATAATATTATTATTACATAATAAACGATTTGAATGATCAAGAAAATTCCAAGAAAAAAAGCCAATTTTATTTTTAAAATCCGTTATTGTACAACATTACAAAACGACAGTTTGTCTCAGTTTAATTCGTAGTTATAATAAATATACAAACTTATATTTAACTTTACTTTACTGTGCTTAAAATCAAATGTTTCGAATTACCAATAAAAACAGTTTGATTATATATTCTATTTATATGTTATTTGTTAAAGAACAATTAATCAGAAGAAAGCGACGGGATAAAAAAAACCCCTTTAAAAAAAAAAAAAAATAATAATTCATTAAATAAATAAATAAATTTAGAATGAATTATTTGCAATTAATTGATAGGAGAGGAGAATTTTGATCGATCGTATGACCTTATTTATTACCTTGTTCTCCCCAAAAATAAAATTTTTTATTTTATTTAAAGTTGCTTATGAATAATAAGTGTGTAACATTGAAAATACAAAAAAAAGATATTGATGGATGGGAAAAGAAAAAATTGCGCACCCAAAACGTAATAAAATAAAATAATGACACATTGTTTTTAATGTTTATTATTTTAAACAGCATATAAAAGGTCAAATTAAAGAAATGGACAAAGTAATGTTGTTTCTCATTAATCAATACTTGGTTCCTAATAATCTAGTTTTTAAAAGAGTTTTCTGAAGAAGATAAAAATCAAATATATGGATTAAATCGGACAAAGTATACAGTCTATAAAAAATATTTTTTAAAACATATATATTGTTTGTATGATTTTTATTATATAAGAGATCAAATTAAAAAATGGTCAAAATACTGTTATTTAATACCTGATTCCTAATAATTTAGTTTTTAACGAATAGGGAAGTTTCCCGGAGAAGTAGATAAAAATCAAATATTTATTATATATATATATGAATTAAATACATCGTCTATAAAATAATAATATTTTTTAAAATAAAATAACAACACAACACACTGTTTATATGTTATTTATTATTTTAAGCAATATAAAAAAATATCCAAAACACTGTTACTTCTCATTTGAATATCCATTAATTAATCGATACTTGGTTCCTAATAATCTAATTTTTAGGGTCATCCTATATACAGGAAGGTTCTTTTTACGAAATATACAGAACATAAGTGACAAATAGGAATTTAATTTTGGAGTTGGTAAGCATTCCATAACTCCTACCACTCCAAGCCTCACAAGTTTAATCGTCACGTATAAATAGCTGTCATGAGAATGTTACAAAAATTTGAGCTATATATTCCTTTTCTATAGAATAAATTTCCATTTTTGGTAGGGTACTGTATATTTCAAAAAAAGAACCTTTCTGTATATAGAATATTTCATATAAAAAATATCCAAAAATTTGTTCGAAAAAAAAATTTAAAAAATTTAAAAAAATTAAAAAAAAGAAAAATAATAATAATAATAATAATAATAATAATAATAATAATAATAATAATAATAATAATAATAATAATAATAATAATAATATTGATATTAATAATATTGATATTAGCTAAAACATCGACAATAATTCCGTTCATAAAAACATGATTTATATCATATATCAAAATGTCGATGGTATTAATTACGTTCACCAAAACATGTTTAATCAAAATGCTGGTAACGATAATTACATTCGTCAAAACATGAATTATCATCACATTCATCAAAATTCCGGAGAAATTCATCAAAACATTATAATTGTAATTGGTGACAATAATCCCGTTCACCAAAATACATTTCATAATACAATTTATCAAAACCACGAGGACGTTTATCAACATGTCAGTGGCAATAATTCCAATCATCAAAACATGGTTCATAATAATCCCATTCGGCAAAACGCTGGAGAAATTTATCAAGACGTCGGTGACAATAATTCCGTTCACCAAAATATGATTAATATAATTTATCAAAACCCTGAAAACACCTATCAAAATGTTGATGACAATAATTCCGTTTACCAAAACGTAATTTATAATTATCCCATTTATCAAAACCCTGGAGAAATTTATCAAAACGTTGGTAATAATTACGTTCATCATGACATGATTCATAACACAATTCATCAAACTCCCGAAGATATTTATCAAAATGTCGACGACAATAATTCCGTTTATCAAAACACTGAGAACATTTGTCAAAGTGTTGGTAAGGAGAGTTACATTCGTCAAAACATGATTTATAATCACCAAAATAATTTCGCTGCTGAACCGAACTCAGCTAATATCATGAGCGTTAATCACCAGAATTCTGTTGAATAACAATAACAACAATAACTGATATGTTAGTATCAATGTTAATAAGAAAAATAGATTAAATAACAACATTGATAATGATATCAATCAATCAATTTATTTATTATGTTGTCATTTTTACGCAGAGAATATTTGTTTGTTTAATTTACCTCCCTCCATATTTAATATGCTTTCATGTGTAATCTAACTGTTGTGTAACTAACTATATATGAATGGGGTTTTTTTTTCAAAATAAAAACTACTATAATAAATACACTTCAAAATGTCAAATAATGACAATGATAACAGTTTTACATCCTTGGAAAATATTACTCGCTTGCTCAGTAACTTTATAAAAAATACCAACTATAATGCTCTACCCTTAAAATACATTAATAAACTTTTAAATGATTTAACGAATTTGTTGAATGAGTCGGATTATTATGATGTAGAGATCAAAGCTGGGGCAGAAAAAGATGACATTGGGATCTTTAGAGCTCATTCTGCCGTTTTAAAAGCAAGGTCTCCATATTTTAAAGCAGCTTTGTCAAATAATTGGATAAAACGATCAGATAATGGTGTTATTTCATTTACAAAAGAAAACATTTCTCCAAAAATATTCGAAGTACTTTTAATGTAAGTTGGTTAATTTAATAATAGAATTATTACACTATTATCTAAATTTTTTTTTCTTCATTATATGTATGTATTATTTATAATTTTAAAAGCTACATGTACAATGGAATTATTAATATTGATAACCTAGATGCAAATGAAATTTTAGAACTTCTTGAAGCATGCGATGAATTAAGCTTTATTGAGTTGATTGATGATTTACAAAGTCATTTAATAAAAGAAGAGGAATGGATTCAACGAAACTTGATATGCATCCATAAAATTTCATCTGATCATCAATCATTCAGTTTACTTCAAGAACTATGTGACAAGTTATATTCTAATTCTCCAGAACTATTATTAAAGTCTGATGGCATGGAAGAAATTGAAAAATCAATGCTTGTTTCTATATTAGAAAAAGATGATTTAAAATTAGACGAGATTGATATTTGGAGTTATGTTATTCAATGGGGAATAGGACAAGATGGAACGTTAGAAAAAGATATTTTAGAATGGACTAAAGATGATTTCAAAGAGTTGCAAGACATATTAAAAGATCTTATTCCATTGATAAGGTTTAATGAAATATCTCTAGTAAATTTCCATGAAAAAATTGAACCTTATCAAAATGTTTTTGATAAAGATGTATACGAAGAACTTCTTGAACATTATCAAAACAAGGGATCAAAATCAAAGTCATTGTTCCAAAAGGGTCCAAGAGTTGGAAAAGGAAAGTTGCTAAGTTCAAAAATAAAATTATTAATTTCTAGCTGGATTGATCAAAATGATAAAAATCTTTGCCATTATGATGAAAATAACATACCATATGATTTTAAATTACTTCTTCAAGGCACTCAAGATGGATTTACAAGATCTGTTTTTGAGGAAAGTTGCAATGATACAAAACAGACTATAGTTATCATGAAAGTTAAAGAAACAGGCGAATTGGTAGGTGGGTACAATCCAGTTTATTGGAGTATAAAAGAAAAGTCACCAGAGGATTATTATTGGATTGAAACTGATAAAAGTTTTATCTTCAAAATTGATGAGAATCAATTTGGTAATTCCATATTAAGTAGTGTCAAAAAACCTAAGAGCGCAATCAATCATTATAGTCAAAATTTTGAAACTACTTTGGATAATATAAGATTTCATGAAAACTTGATCAATTTTTATGATTTACGACTATATAACAGTATTGACAATTCACCTTATTGTTATTACTATTTTTGTAATTCTTCTTCCTACAGTAGTAATTTGAATCTTAAAAACATCAATGAAAAAGTTCACTTGCTAGAAGAGTATGAAGTTTATAAATTAGCAAAGAAAAATCAATAAATTGGCACAAATATATATATATATAATACATATTTTTTTCGCAAATAAATATAATATTTTCATAAATATCCAGTATTGTTTATGTAATATCATTATTCCAGCTTTATGGAGATGACTATTTGTTTTTTTGAAAATGGCATCAAGTTATTAATTAGTTGTTTGTTAGTAATAGTGGAAGATAAAGATTTTAACAAAAAATTAAAATTTAGATATTAGGATGATTTTATGCAATGCAAAAAATCAATTCCAAACATACGAACCAATACCCAATCTGAATGAATGAGCCCATATAAAATCACAATTTCTGCCATTAAAAATTTATCAAAACCTCAATCCTAACCAGTTATATTGGCCAGTTCTCCGAACCATAAAAAAAAAATTTTTTTCCATGTGCCAAAGTGAGACGTTGTATGCCTGTAGCTAATCATAAAAAATAGATAACATGTTAACGGCAAAAATTTTCTCATTTGGCAGCATAATTCTGACACCAGGTTCTCGCACTGAGAATTGGAAGAAATTGTATATACAGTTTTTTTTTTGTTTCAATTTGATATCCCAATTGGATACTCCAATTCAATAATTCCTCGCGCCTGGGTTTGCAATTTGTGTCAATGAAAAGTTCATAAACTATGTATGTTTAATAAAATTCAAAGGAAAAAAAACAGCTCTAGAATTGAGTTATTGATACATGTACTATAAATAAAGAGGTAATTCGTATATTATTGTTGTAATGATCATTATCTCTTTAATTACTATTATTATAATTACTATGAATATTATTATGATTAATTCAATAAAGAATTTTTTTCCTCAAAAATTGATTAATATTAATTCATCTCGCGTCAAATTCGGGTCATAATTGTTTGTAAGTTAAAACCCAACCCGACCGCAGTTAAAACTAAAATCATCCACCAATAAATCACGGGTCCTGACCTGATCCAGGCCTTTAATATCAATTATTAATAAGTCATTCTGGTAACAAAATAAAACTTGAAGTTAACATTAATATAAGAATGAACTATGATTTTTCCTTATTTTTGTTTCATCAAATATCATAGTTTTTTATAAGTCCAAGTAATACAAAAAATCATTACATTAGCAAGAATATTATACTACGCGTATTCATGTTATTGAATACTGCGTAAAATTAGGTAACCTCGAATGTGGATGAGATAGAATTAATGAAAAATTTTGATTTTGTCAAAAAGCAGTGGAAGGAACCTTGATGTTGATAACATCTTGATTCATTTGGAGTTGATGTACAATCTTCGAATTGAATTCTAGTGATCTTTTTTTTTGTACTGTTACTGTTTCTTTGATGTGAATTCCAGAGGAAATAAACGTGTTTGGGAATCCTCTGATTTTTTATTATTTGTGGGATATTTTACTGGACAAAAAAAGCTCTCTGAAACCAGTATCTTTAAATATTTACATACGAGTATTTTTTATGTTACCATCTGGATGCTTTTGGAGGTGGATGCATCGAAAGAAATATTAATCTAATAAAATGGTGCAAATTAATTATCGAAATAAATAAAAAATGTCAACTATACATTTACCACCAGAGCTTTTTAAGTAAAATAACCGAATACGCTAATTATGATTATAAAACACTATATTCTTGTATTCTAGTTTATAACAATGACATAATCTCAATATCTCATATTTATGGAGGGACCCATTCTATTGTGTAAACAGCGTCAAAATATTAATTAATTGTTTGTCAACAGGAGACAAGGATTTCTTGATGGAAAATGAGATTGAATTAAATTTTGAATTATTAGAGAAGCCACCTTTACACAATTATGCTAAATTCACAACTGTGATATGTTTTTATCATCCTAAATTTACAGTTGATGGACTTTGTTATTTTTGATTCGAAAGTGAGGTTTCTAATAAAAAGCTCCCCAAAAGATAAATACAAATGTGGAGAAAAGATAAATAGAACTTATTTAGACTATGCAACTATAAGTACGCTTGCGCACATCAGTAAGGCAAGTGAAGAGTTAATCAATCATCATAATTTTGACGCATGTTTTCAAAATCTCTATGAATTACGTTGTGACTTTGATTGTTGTAATGAATTTAAATTTATTGATAGATTAACAATCACTTCTAAAAATATTCATGTTTTAAAAATAGAGGTTGATGAAATCGACGAAGATTCTTCAAGTGACGATCTTAATGCTAGTAGTTATAGCCTCGTTCAACTAATTAAAGCACAACATCAAATTAAAGAATTGCTTCTTGAGTCACACTTTGAAATAATATTATCAGACGATCTTAAGGACGCAATATTACTTCATTCCAAATCAATAATTAATTACGCATGTTACGGAGAAAACAAAACAAATTCTTTAATTGTTCCATCATTTCAAAATTTAAAAAGTTTAATAATAAATTTTAAGGAACATCATTATCATTATCATGAGGTCAGTTTAAAATATCTAAAATCCAATTTTTTTCCCAAAAATAGAACATCTAGATTTGGATGTTTATTTCCATTTCTATCTGATTTATCAAGCTTCATTAAAATCAATGGAAAGACACTTAAATCCTCTATATTGGTGGCAATCCATCTGATACACAATGCTTGGAAGAATATTTTTGTTTAATATGAGACAATTGTGGAAATTTAGAACATTTAACAACAATTTACAACGTTAAAATGGATCAGCAGTTAACTGAAATATCAAATAATTGTATTAAATTAAAAAAAAAATATAAGCATTACATATAATAATATATGTTTGATAACGCGATGAGACGAATAACTAATTAAATTTATTGTTATTTTTACTATTCGATTTATTTGTTTTTTAATTTGTAAAACTTATGAAAAAATTTACGTTGAAAACTATTCAAATAAAATTGAATCATTATTTTTAAAAATAAATATCGTAAAAATAATTCGATATTGAATATAGTCAAAAACCCTGAATATGCAATAATTCATAATGGTCAAACTGTTAATCATGTCTAGAATTTTTGTGATTTGGCACTATATAACAGTATTAATAACGAATATTAATATTTTTATCGCTTTGCTGGTAATTCTCGAGATTGGCACCGTTAGCCATTTAACCGGTTAAAGAATTTTTAGACGGTGCCAATCTCTATTCTTATCAGAATAATTTCCAAATTTTACTGTTTTACAACCCACTATTACTATAGATCGGCGGAAATGTAGGTTGGCGGCGTTTGACGAAAATAAAGATTTTCGAAATATTAATATTGGACAATTCTAAAATTAGAATGTTCTTTCACGCCTTTATAATTGTTAAAAATGAGTGAAATTTTCAACTTAATACATAAATTACTCACCAAACTAAATGAGTTAAATGAACCAATCAATTCAAGCAAATTACTTGACACATTAAAAATAATAGAAAATTGTACCCATTGTAAAGAATATGCACAAAAAATTTATTTTTATTTATTTTATAAACCATTAAATAAACTAGAAAAGATCTCAGAAGAATTAGATAAGGAAGAAAACGAAAATAGGAGAGCAGAAATAATCCATCAATTAGGTGATGAATTAAATAAATTAGATATTGAAATAAACAAATGGGTATTATGTGGTGAATGTCAAAAGAAGAATATATTCAACCCTTTCTGTGAATTACTCACCAAACTAAATGAATCAAATGAACAAATTAATTCAAACAAATTACTTGATACATTAAAAATATTAGAAAATTGTACCAGTTGTGTACGAGGAAATTATTTTTATTTATTTTATAAACCATTAAATAAACTAGAAAAGACCTCAGAAGAATTAGGCAAGGAAGAAAGTGAAGATAGAAAAGCAGAAACGATCCATCAATTAGGTGATGAATTAAATAAATTAGATGTTGAAATAAATAGAAGGGTATTATGTGGTGAATGTCAAAAGAAGAATATATTCAACCATTTCTGTGAATTACTCACCAAACTAAATGAATTAAATGAACAAATTAATTCAAATAAATTACTTGATACATTAAAAATAATAGAAAATTGTGTCAGTTGTAAAGAATATGCACAAGAAAATTATTTTTTTTTATTTTATAAACCATTAAATAAACTAAAAAAGATCTCAGAAGAATTAAATAAGGAAGAAAATGAAAATAGGAGAGCAGAAATAATCCATCAATTAGGTGATGAATTAAATAAATTAGAAGTTGAAATAAATAGATGGGTATTATGTTATAAATGTCAAAAGAAGAATATATTCAACCCTTTCTGTGAATTGCTCATCAAACTAAATGAATCAAATGAACAAATTAATTCAAACAAATTACTTGTTACATTAAAAATATTAGAAAATTGTACCAGTTGTGTACAAGGAAATTATTTTAATTTATTTCATAAACCATTAAATCAACTAGAAAAGTTCTCAGAAAAATTAGATAAGGAAGAAAACGAAAATAGGAGAGCAGAAATAATCCATCAATTAGGTGATGAATTAAATAAATTAAATGTTGAAATAAATATAAGGGTATTATGTGGTGAATGTCAAAAGAAGAATATATTCAACCTTTTCTGTGAATTACTCACCAAACTAAATGAATTAAATGAACAAATTAATTCAAACAAATTACTTGATACATTAAAAATATTAGAGAATTGTGCCAGTTGTAAAAAAAAAAAAATTGCACAAGGAAATTATTTTGATTTATTTCATAAACCATTAAATCAACTAGAAAAGATCTCAGAAGAGTTAAGCAAGGAAGAAAATGAAAATAGGAGAGCAGAAATAATCCATAAATTAGGTGATGAATTAAATGAATCAGATGTAGTATTATGTTATGAGTGTCGAGCTGGGAATAAAAAAATGGATATATTTCTTGATGGATGTAAACAAAAAGCAACCAATAGTAATTATATGAAATGGGTTCCATTTAATGAATTTAAAAACATTGAATACTTGGCTAAAGGTGGATTTGGGGAAGTATACAAAGCAATGTGGATTACTGAAAATAGAAAGATTGTATTAAAAAAGTTATATAATAATCAAATTTTAGATATTTTAAGAGAGGTAAATATCAACCTATTATAACAATTATTATTATTAGATGTTATATTAATAATGAATATAATTTGTAGTTAATAGCAAATGATGAATGTGGACATTTTGTTAACAAATGTTATGGAATTACTAAAAATCTAAATAACTATTTGTTGGTATTTGAATATGCCCCATATGGAGATTTACATAATAATTTATTAAAAAATTTCAAAAAAATTACATGGGAAGATAAAATTTATTCAATGTATTGTATTTCAGAAGGGTAGGTTTTTTGAATTCATTATTTTTTTTTATTTATAAATATGTAGTAATAATTATAATACATGTATATTATTTTTTTTATGAATTAGATTAAGGAAAATCCATGAAAGTAATTACATTCATCAAGACTTGCACAGTGGTAATATTTTTTCATACGCTCTTAATTATAGCCTAATAGGAGATTTAGGATTATGTCAACAAATAGTTGAAAAAGATAATCCAAATAAAATTTTTGGAGTCATTCCATACCTGGCACCTGAAGTATTATCAAAAAAACCATATACAAAAAAATCAGACATTTACAGTCTTGGAATGATAATATGGGAATATACTTCAGGTAAAAAACCTTTTCATGATAGGGGACATAATTCTTATCTCATACATGATATTTTAAATGGAATGAGACCTCAAATCACAGATGATACTCCCAAATTCTGTGCTGAATTGATGAAAAAATGTTGGGATCATGATCCAAAAAATAGACCAACAGCTGAAGAAGTTCATAAATGTTTTGGAAAATATTACCCATCTAAAAAAAAAGAAGAGGTTATTAAATCAGCAGAAGCTAAGCGACAAAAAATCATCAATTCAGAAAAATACTTGTTAGATACAAAAAATTACAAACACCACCCAGAATCATTCTATACAAGTCGTCCACTAGATGAATCAATTCAGAAGGCTGAACTGTTAAATTGTTCATCAACTAAATCAGATCAGGATAGTAATATTCATGGCTTATTGATCTCAAAATTTATTGGATGATAGATGTTGATGAAAAGATGATTGTAAAATTTTGATTTATTAATTTATTATTATTATTATTTATTATTATTATTATATTAATATTTATATATTTATAAATTAAATCATTATATATTTTTCTTTAAGTTGAATAAAACAAATAAAAACATCATATTATTTAACCCTGTTGTAATTAAGTACCAAGAAACAAATGTTTTCTTTATATTATATTATATGGGACCTTTTTTAGCAAAAATGACTTTCCCAAAAACTTTATTTTTGCAATGAAAAATAATGTAATAGAAATTTTTTTTTGATTTGCTTAGTAAAAAAAGGTTATAATATTGGGTAACTTTACTATGTTATTCGAAATTTCAGCAACTATGTGAAATTGAGTGCGGGCACATATGTTACATTAAAGGTAGCCAATGTAACTATATTGATATGTAAAAATTTAATTTAATAAAATCACAGATTAACCAATTTAACAAACAACACTATGCACTGCCTTTTACAGTCATTGTTTATGATATATATACCTTAATATTAAATAATACATGTTCAAAATGAAAAATTACATTTCTTTATTAATTATATAATTATGCGCTCATATTTTTGATTAACTAGCACGAACTACTGATTTTTTGCTCAAAAGTTGCATAGAAGTTGAAAATTCCAACTTTGTAGATAACACCTTATTTAAACCTATATATTTGTTAAAGTATCTGGGTTAATGAACTAATGCCCTATCTGGTTGAATATATTAAATTGTTTAATGATGTGAAGAAAAGGGGTTATTATAATGATGATACTGATGGTGGTGATGAAAAAGATCATTAAGACTTCATAATAACATGCGTGGTCTTTTTATTCTAACTGATAATAACCGTCAATACCACAGATTATGTTGAGGAACAAACGATGATAATATTCCTATTTTATCAAAGAAAAATGAAAGAACAATCCGTGTTCTAATGATGAAGATGATATTAGTGATGATGTTGATTATCGCAAGACAGTAAAATAAATAAAAAATAGGTATATTAATAAAATATCATTGTTATAAATCCTAAGAATCAAGAAATAATGGATAAAGAAGAAATTTGAATCGCTAAATAAAACTTATTTCGATGGTCCAAGAATTATTCTTAATAATTCTAATAACACAAATAATAAATCAATTAAAAATAAATAAAATATTCTTTCTTTTCTTGCCACTTAGTTTTTTTAGCTCCTGCTGTAGTCTTGTTTTTTATTTTCTTATAAGATATAATTATCTAGTTCAACTTTTCTAATTCTTTCGTTATTGATACTAAAACTCGGGAATAATTGTTTTTTTATGGTAAACTGCGAGTATTGCAATGTTCCAACTGCATATTGCGATTTTGAGTGACAAAATTTAAAAAAGTTACTTTATTAAGACTTTACAAATTTGGAAGGTAATACATTATTATATTATAATTATAAATACTATATATTACTAATTATTGCCGCGCTTTTTTTTCGATCAAAGTTATTTTTTTTTCCTATATAATAAAAAAAAAATGAAGTTTACTAAAAAACACGATGAAATGCTTAAACAAGTTCCATGGATTTTTATTAAAGCTAAAAATATTAAAACTGATGATTTAATAGAAGATAAAGAACAAAAGGTTGCTGATGATATTGTAGTATTACTTGTAAAATCTGTATTCACAAAGAATTCGTATATTATACTTTTTACTGATTTAAAAAATGTTTGGTTCGAGGAATTATTTTCTGATGAAATTAAACAAAGGTTTCAGGAAAGTGTTTATTATTAATTGATTGATTGATTGATTGATTGATTAATAAGATTATGACAGCAAACAATAATTAATTTTTTATATTTATATTTTTTATTTAAATTTCAATAGGAATTAAAAATTTCAATTGATAAAGATAATTTTTTTGAATATATTTTGTTTCTATCAGAATTTTTTTTAAGACAACAATTGGATGTCAAACATAAAATAAACAAGCAAAATGATTTAGTAAGGTTTTAAGATTTTAATTTTAAGATCGAGATTAAATTTGAGTTTTAATATTCTAAATTCAAATTCAAATTCAAATCCAAAAAATAAAGCTTTGTGTAGAATCTATAAGAAACTTCGGATTAATCGATTTGACATGGAAATTTAAATGTAAATCTATTACATCAACATCTCCTCCTTCATCTCCAAATTTAAATTCAACTTTAAAATCAGATTCATCCTCAAACTCAACATCGGATTTAAAGTCAAGTTCAACATCTTCAATAATTGATGCATCAACAATTTTATATAATCATATTATTTTACCTCAAATGATGGTTATTTGTTCATTTAATCAACTAATCAATTCATCGTCATCGTCATTGTCATTCTCTGATAACAAAGATAACAGCAAAAATAACAGCAAAAATAATAACAAATCTGATCCTAATAAAGAAATTGAAAAGGTAAGTTGATAAATTGATAATTGTGGATTATTAAAAAAATCAATTTTAAAAACCATTTAATTTTTATTTTATTATTTTATTATTATTTAGATTATAATAGCAAATATCGAAAAATATCATATTAGTAATGATATTTGTGATGAAAATAGTAAAGACCTATTAAATATATTAGGAGATTCGAATATTTTAAATTTATTAAACTTTTCAACAAAAAATTTTATTAATTCTCAAGGTAATTAATTAAATAACTAATAGTTTTATTATATTTTATTTTTATTATTTAAAAAATATTAAATATTTTTTTAATTTTTCAGCATCAACAACTACTAATAATAGTGAAAAAATTGAACCAGAAAAAATAATTTCTTCAAATAGTAAATCTAATATAAATAATATTAATGAAGATGGTAGTAATGATAATGATAATGATGGAAAAGAAAAACATATCACAAATGAAATTGATAAAAGACAACAATTAAAAGAATTAATTCTAAAGAAATGTGAACATAACACTAAAAAAAGAAAAAAAATCCACTGATAATTTATTTAATTTATTTATTTATTATTTATTTATTAAAAGTTATTTTATCTTAATCACTAATAAAAACCAGCAGTATTAGAATGACATGGTGACAAAATCAAAGTTTATGGCACGTGTTAGAAAGTTTACAATTAAATTTTTTTACTATTTTAAAAGAGTATAAAATTATTTACAATATGGTTATTTCTCAAGACAATAATACAGGGTGGTTACCTTTAAATCAGATGATAACCACGAAGAATTCTTTATCCTGAATTGGGTTGTAATCATTAATGAATTAATATTATACATTATTTTTTGGTGATGATGAATCATCTTTAGGTGTTAAAATGGTGTGTGAAACAATCTCATTGATAGATACAAAAGGGGGTTTTTTTTTGATTAATTAGATGCTTTTGTATTTTCACTGGATTAATACTAGGCTTCGAACAGTTAATGGCAGTAATCAAGGTATCGTTGACAAATCTTCAAAACAAAAAGTGTAAAATGCTTTTAGCACACAGATAATGCACAATTTATTCTCGTATACTTTGGTATGGGGGTCATAAGGATCTGTTAAAGATTGTTGAAGTAAATTATAATATCATTTAATTATTTGTTAATGTTGTGATTAACGAGATTTGTGATAACAAGATTGATTGCTACAACTGGGATGTATCAGGAATTCATAATTAATGAAAAAAAAAAAATCAAAAAAATATTTATATGCAATGTGCTTGAATTATCAAGAAGCCACACTTTGTGGTATTTACCAATTTTGCACCTACAAAAAAAAAATAGAAAGAAACAACACCCCAGTTTATTTGCTTATCATAAAAAGAAAGGAAGAGCAAACCAAGAATTAATTTATATCTTTGCCCTAAATATCTTGTATGGACTATTGGGTAATTTAGCATAAGAAATTAATCAAAAAAAAAATTTGGTGCACCTTTTGATAAAAAAGCCACCCATCTTGTTATATACAAAGAATTTGAAGTGAAAAATACTTACAGTTAATTCCAAGTTAAAATTATTTCTATTAAATATAGTTTAAAATCCCCAATGCTTTGACATGTGATTGAAGAGAATAATAACTTTGGAGATTATCACCATTACCTATGTTATTATTATTATTATCATTAACCCTATTAAATGGTAATGCATTCTTTATGAATTCCATTCTCCTCCTTATCATCAACTGTTTTTTATTATCTATCCTCTCCTCCTTTAACATTTAATTCATCATTATTTATTGCTATGCCTAATCCTATTATTATCACCAACATTAATTCAATGATTTCAAGCCTTATTAAAATGTGTTTTATTTGGATTTAGAAACACTACCTCTAAGAGAAAAACCAAATGCTATGAATGGATTTCGTTATCCAAAATATGATAATGGTAATTAGAAAATCTTTTACACAGAAATCTATTAAAAGAAAATGCTATAAAAAAGTATTTATCATGTACTATATCTTATTAAATCTGTGTATGTAAAAAATTTTTGTTTTTTCTTTTCCAGGAAAACTTTTATATTCATGTATATCAATTGAGATTTTTAAAAATTTTTACTAATTAACATCTTTTAACGTGAATTAAAAATTATATATAATTTATATTGAATGCACATTCATGTAATTTAGTTAGGATTTTTGCTATGTGAACATTTTTTCAAAAAATCTTTCCATTACATTGAAGCTAAAGACTCAATCTGTCAATTAATGAAGTTAAAATTTAAAATATTGACTAGTTCTTGAGTTCTAGAATTTTAAAGGTCATAATAATATTTGTTTTTCTGGTGATAATGAATTATATTAGGTGTTAAAATGGCGCAAGGACAATAAATACAAAAGGGGGGGTGTTTGATTAATTAATGCTTTTATTTTCACTGGATTAATTTGCTTCCCAAAACATCATATTACTAGACTTCAAACAGGTAATGGCAGACCTTCAAACAAAGACTGTGAAATGCTTTTTGGTAGATCAGATAATACACAATTTATTCTCAACATGGAAAGGTCATAATATCGATCATTACAGGGTATTATCCCTGGTTGAATTTAGCCAATCAGATTTTCTTCTGGAATTTCATACCATCAATCATTACGGTATTTAATATTTCCATCTATGAATAAATTAGATTGATATTAGTAAATACCAAAAAAAAAAAAAAATCACAAACAAATAAATTGATAATAAATAAAATTATGTCAAAAAAAACAAAAACATGAAGCATGGCACAGAGCTAAACATCCTATGAACAAGGCAACAATCACAACAGCAATCTTCTGGCAATTTGCATGGTCCAAGAGACAGGGATTGGAAGAAAAAAAGAATGATGCTAAGAAGATTTTGAAACAATTTAAGGTATGGGTTCTCTTTTTTTTTGGGATGTTAATACTTATCGTAAATCATGCTGTTTTTTCAAGTCATGGTAGCTGTTCAGGGAATGTGGGAGACAATGGTTCTGCTCACATATGGACTATGGTTCAACCCTGTCAGCAGTTGTGATCAGTGTTGTGACCAGAAACTCTTTTGGCTTCCCAAAACATTTCGGAAAATGAACTTACACTAAGCAGAAAACTAAACATAAACATAAACCTAACATAAACTACTAACCTAAACTAGTTTCAGGTGATTTCTGTTAGTTTCTGTTTCGGGTTTTCCCTAAACTCAGAGTTTCGGGTCACAACACTGGTTGTGATGTGGGGGTTCCACTGAAGTTCTTCCATGAAACTTGCAATATTTGTTGCTTGCTGACTGTTTATACATATTTTCTGATTTTCATAGCATAGAAGGTATAAAGACTGGTGGATATATTGATGATTTTTGGATTAATATGAATGTGGAGCAGAGTTGGCAAATGTGTAGTCTATTGGTGGTCTATTGGTGATCCATTGGGTCCATTAGTATACCATTTCAACTATATTTAGTATTTATTAATGGCAATGGACCAGTCAAAAGTCCATCATTCTCAATGGACCAGTAAATTTGTCAACTCTGATGTGGAAAGACAAGCAAACCTAAAAGAGAGGCAAATCCCATCTGAGTATTTTGTTTATCAATTCTAATCCTCACTTAAACCTTGACAATATGTAGATGACTTTTCTTTATTTGTTTTTAACATACATTCTGATAAACTAAAAATTCTCAACAAACTTCTAATAATAATGTTAAAAATGAAATTGGTACTGTGAGATCAAATATTCCGTCTCACACAAATCTATTAATTTGGTTATAATATGATTTATTCCTTCCTATGGCAGTATACAGTTGTGTAATTCTTTGATTACTTTCTCTGTTTTATAGCGTTCAAGCTATTTAACTCTCTGCAGGGCAAGTTTTCTTACTTCCCGTCCGGTAACGTTTTCTCAGCAGTTGCTATGTTTTCTGCCTGAGCCGGAACGTGTCAATT